TTTCATCTCATAATTGAAGATCAACATCTATTTGGCTTTTAAAGGTCACTAAGAGGGCAGGATCTCAGTTATATTCTATTGTTAGAACTACATGTTCTAGTTAAAGAAAAAATTGCTTTGCCAAAGTACAAGCCATTTACTAATTAGCACTTTAACTTAGCACCATGCTTCATGGAAGGAGTTTTAATTTACTAGCCCAGGAGCAATTCGTTGTAATCGAAGCAACATAGTAGTACATGAGAAATTTCATAAAGAATTACCTATTCAGAGGAAAAGAAAGATCGGACAATAAAGAAACATTTTTTAAAAAACATTTCAAGTAAAAAGTGAAAGTGGAAAGAAATAAGAAATCAAAGATACTAATTTTCTTGAGCAGCGATTTCAACCTTTTTCATCTCATGGCACACATAAACTAATTACTAAAATTCAGTGGACACCAAAAAAATATTTTTTGCCAATATGACAAAAATATATAGAATTTTAATTTATTTACAAAATTAATAATAATAGTGATTACCTACCCTATTGCTCCAAAGTGATTTTTTTAAAAACTCAGGTGCCTATACTTGTATATAAGGAGTTCTGGTACCAAGAATTAATCAACCAGACACAATCAGATGCAATTCTGTTATATGACCTATATATTTATGGTTCAAAACAAGGCATTCACACTAGATTGCTATTGTCATGTTGGCTGTTGTCATTTTTTATTTGACAATCTAAGGGAAAAGGAGGTCAGGTATTTCATTTTTAAAAAATTCTTGTGGCACACCACTTGAAAATCGCTGTACTAGAGCAAAAGTATTGAGGAAAACCAGACACAGATTGTAGATATGTTTTATTATTTGAAAACTATTTAAATTTTATTCTTTCTTTTTTGAAGACAGTAATTTTATATCTAACTTTTCTATGAAAGGATGAAAATTTGGCACGGGGGGGGGCAATAGTTTAGATGCATATGTTCTCATTGTATAATTTTACTATTAGTAGGAAACCAGAGAAAATGAATGAATGTGTGTAATCCTGCACTTGGATGTGTAGGATAAAGAGACTTAGTGGTTCTCAAGTAATAGCATAATGTTTTATTTGCATTTATTAAGTAATTGATAAAGTGTTTACTGCCAACAGATAGTCACAAATGTAAGAAATACAATTCATGGCTTCAAAAAGCTTCACGGACGATCATTTGATGATCCTATTGTGCAAACTGAAAGGATCAGGATTCCCTATGAGCTGCAGAAAATGCCCAATGGAAGTGCAGGAATTAAGGTAAGTTTATATTTCCAGAATACAAACATATATTTAAATTAAAGGAACCACTGACCGGTTTGGCTCGGTGGATAGAGCGTTGGCCTGCGGACTGAAGGGTCCTGCGTTCGATTCCGGTTAAGGGCATGTACCTTGGTTGCGGGCACATCCCCAGTAGGAGGTGTGCAGGAGGCAGCTGATCGATCTTTCTACCTCTCTATCCCTCTCCTTTCCTCTCTGTAAAAAATATATAAAACATATATATATTTTAAAAAGAAACCAAATTCCATATTTTTTTCTTTATTGTTAGCTGAGAAGTTGAGTGATAAAAATTGCTTTTGTGGGAGGTAAGGATATGGAACAGGTAAAGACACTTTGCAAATAATTTGCTTGTAACAGTGTTAGGCACTGAAACTTCAGAACTAAGAGATTATAACACTAGAACAATCTTTTTGGAATATAACTTCCTTGAGCAATGACTTTGCCTTTTTCACTTTGTATATCCAGCATGTATAGTGGAGATTTTCACAGAATATTTATTGGAAGAATAAATGACTCAATAAAAATCTCTCAACTTTTGGTTTCAGGTGCGGTACCTAGAAGAAGAGAGACCTTTTGCTATTGAGCAAGTTACTGGAATGCTGTTGGCTAAGCTTAAAGAGACTTCAGAAAATGCTTTAAAGAAACCAGTAGCTGACTGTGTGATTTCAGTAAGTTTTACTTCAGTAATGAGTACTCTTGAATCCTATTTTCCAGTGTACTGTAGTCCTTCCTTATCCATGGGGTTAAGTTCCAAGACCCCCAGGGGATGCCTCAAACCATGATACCAAACCCTATATCTGTACTATGTTTTTTGTATGCATTCATAACTTTTAAAGAAAGGAAGCACTTTACAGCTTCTCTTTGGCATATTCAAATTACCAGCATTACTACTCTTGCACTTTGGGGCCATTACGAAGTAAAAATAAGGGTGAGTTGAACACAAGCACTGTGATACCACAACAGTCAATATGATAACTGAGATGGCCACTATGTGGCCCCTGGGCAGATAGTGTATACAGCATGGATACTAGGGACAAAGTGATGATTCAGCCAGGCAGGACAGAGCAGGGTAATATTAGATTTCATCACACTACTCAGAAGAGCATGCAATTTAAAACTTAAGAATTGTTTATTCCTGGTATTTTCCATTTAGTATTCTCAGACCTTGGTTGACCATGGGTAATTGAAACCATGGAAAGCGAAACTACGAATAAGGGAAGCATCCTGTATTAATGTTACATTGAAATGCTTTTCTTCCCTTTCTTTATTGTATCTGCCCTTATCCAGTAAATAAACTAAATCCAGTTTTACTATTTTGTTGTTGTTAATCCTCACCGGAGGATATTTTTCCATTGATTTTTATTTTATTTTATAGAGAGTGGAAGGGAGAGGGTGAAACACAGAGAGGGAAATGTCAATGTGAGAGAGACACATCGATTGGTTGCCTCCCATATGAGCCCTGACTAGGGCCAGGGATTAAGCTTGCAATTGAGGTACATGCCCTTGTACGGAATCAAACCCAGGACCCTTGGGTCCACAGGCCAATCGCTCTATCCACTGAGCCAAACTGGCTTGGGCTCTATTTTTACTTTTACATTACAAAGAAATTATCTTATTCGGTAAAATTCAGGAGTGAGTTTCCCAAAAATCATTTGTGATAATCAATGAATCTTAAAAAAATACAACTAATATATGTGATTAGTGGCTGCTGTAAATGCCACTTCTCCCTAAGAATCTTTCCAGGGAGCACTGACTTTCCCACCTCTAGGGACTTGAACATTGTATCTCAAAGGTTGAAAATTCCCACATGGTACTTTGAGAGTGTGAATATTCTGTATCAGAAAGAAGAGATTTATTTTTTAATGAAAAATTGAATTTATTTCTAAAGTTTTGACATAATGCATATACCCATAAAACCATCATCACTGTCAATATAATAAACATATTCCTTTGTGCCTTTTTAAAGATAAAATATGTTGGTTATATAAGCTGTACAATGTGATGCTTTCATATCATAGTGAAATCATTAGTGCTGACAAGCTAATTAAAATTAAAATATCCACTGCCGAAACCGGTTTGGCTCAGTGGATAGAGCGTCGGCCTGCGGACTGAAGGGTCCCAGGTTCGATTCCGGTCAAGGGCATGTACCTGGGTTGCGGGCACATCCCCAGTGGGGGGTGTGCAGGAGGCAGCTGATCGATGTTTCTCTCTCATCGATGTTTCCGACTTTCTATCTCTCTCCCTTCCTCTCTGTGAAAAATCAATAAAATATATTTTAAAAAAAATTAAAATATCCACCTCCTCATATGGTTACCTTTTTATTTATTTGTGTGTGTGTGTGTGTGTGTGTGTGTGTGTGTGTGTGTGATGAGAACACCTGAGCTACTTTCTTACAAAATTTCCTTGATACAATATTATAAACTACAGAGCCTGTGTTGTATATTAGATGAACTAATGTATTTTTTCATAAGCCAAACCGACATAAGTTGGTTTCATAAGCCAAACCAACATTTTGGAAGTCCTGCAGTATTATTCCATATTATTCCTTGCTTTACAATTGTTTGTACTTTAGGTCACCATTTTATAATATAGAATAGCCAAACTTAAAAAAAAAACAATGCCCATCCCCCTGGGTCTCTCATAGTGCCCCATGCCAGAGCAAACTGTGACCATGAACCATAGCCTGCAGGCACTGAAGCAGGTTACACAGTGGGCGGGGGCGTTGGGGGGCGCGGTTTGGGTGGAAGAGTATGTTTTCTCATTTATTTCATTAAAACACCATTCTTGCCCTAACCGGTTTGGCTCAGTGGATAGAGCGTCGGCCTGCAGACTGAAAGGTCCCGGGTTCGATTCCGGTCAAGGGCATGTACCTTGGTTGCAGTCACATCCCCAGTAGGAGGCGTGCAGGAGGCAGCTGATCGATGTTTCTCTGTCATCGATGTTTCTAACTCTCTATCCCTTTCCCTTCCTCTCTGTGAAAAATCAATAAAATATATTTTAAAAAAAATTATCCGGCTTTATATCTTCCTTCTTTAAAAAAAACACACACACACAAAAAAAACACGATTCTTTGCCTTAAGCTGTACACAAGTTTTAGTGTAATTTACAGTTTTAGCTGATGAAATGTTTAAGTAAAACATATTACATAAATTTAATATACTTAATTGTTGTTTTTAAATATCAGATTCCTAGCTTTTTCACTGATGCTGAGAGAAGATCTGTGATGGCTGCAGCCCAGGTCGCTGGTTTAAATTGTTTAAGATTGATGAATGAAACTACTGCAGGTGAGCACTTTGCTGTTTGAAATGACTATCAAAAAATACTGTTACTTTTTTAAAACTGTTATGTACTGATTCCTGTAAGCTTTTCTATTTGGAGTATAAAATTTTGGCATGTTTTACATTGGCTATAAGAATCATTAATCTTTGAGAGTTATAGATGAGTAAAGAAAAAAATAACATTAAAAACATTAATTAAGAGGGAGGGCAGCTCGGGGCCCCGCCGCAGGCTCTGGCCAACGGGGCGCTGCGCCCTTCTCTCCCGGACAGCCAGCTGCCCAGTGGGTGTGAAAAAAAAACACCAAACATTAATTAAGCAAATTATGAAAAGTTAATTTGAAATTAATAATTTGTATTACTCTACTATGTATTAAAGTGTGTAGTATCAAAGTGATTTATCTGTCTTCCACATGACTGCTGTACTGAAAGTAACCTAATTCTTTGTTCTTGCACAGTTGCACTAGCATATGGAATTTATAAACAGGATCTTCCCTCATTAGATGAGAAACCAAGAAATGTAGTATTTATTGATATGGGACATTCTGCCTACCAAGTCTCACTTTGTGCTTTTAACAAAGGAAAACTTAAAGTAAGTAAGTGATTTGCAATATTTAGCTTTAATGGTTCAGAGCATTTAAGACCATATAGAGAACCTTTATGTCTGGGTTTAAAATCCTGTCTCTGCCACATGAAAACTGTGAACTTGAGCAAGTTACTTAACCTCTCTAAATCTTAGGTTTCTCACCTGATGATAAAATTAGTAACTATCTCATAGAACTTTTGAGGACAAAATGAGTTAACGTATACAAAATGCTTGGAATGCCACATGGTAGATACTATAATATTTGTTAACTATGTGTATTACTGTTGAAGTATTACATTAGCTATCAGATAATTTTACATATTTATCTATAAATATACATAAGGAAACATTTATAAAAATGATTCCATTGTTTTTAGAAACCTTTGTATCTAGGAATCCTAATCAAAATTTTCTATAATGTGGCATTATTTACTTCTATGTGTTTATTTTTTTATAGTCTGTATTTGGTTTTATATTTATTTTTACATTGGTTATCTTATCCAGACTTGCACATTCTCTCTCTTCAGTATGTATGTGTGTAGAATTGACTAGAAGATGAAATGCTTTGGGTTATCCAACACCTTTTAGAGCCTTTTGTCTTACCTATATATATATAAAAGGCTGATATGCTAAGTGTCTGAATGTCTGACCGGTCGCTATGATGTGCCCACAAAGCAACACTCGGCTTCCCCCAAGTGGGACACAGGCCCTGCCACCACCCCAAGTGACAGCCCACCAAATCCCAGCTGACACTGCTGCTGAGACCCCATGGCACAAAATGTGGCCCACAGCCCAGCCCAGCCTGGAAATGGTGGCTGTAGGTGCCAGGTAATGACATCATGTAGCAAGGCCCAACTTCCTTTCCCTAGCAATGACTACCCTCCTTGCAGTTTCTTCAGCCCAGGAACATGACTTGCTTTATAGCCAGGTGCAAACATTTCACACTTTAACCAAATGTCTGTGAAGCGTTTTCCCATGCCTCATCTCATTTAATCCTCACGGAAGTCCTGGAGTAAATAGGAGACTTGGTGGAATCCTATTTTCTTTTCATTAGTCAGAAAATGGAGATTTAGGAAGTTTAGACACTTGACCTGACTGAAAAGAAGTAAGAAATGGTGGACCTTGAAAATGACTTTAGGTTTTCACACTGCACAGAATATAGTCAAACACTGCTGCAATTAAATATTTTACCCTTTGTTCTCCTTGCATGATCTACAATAATAATCTGCTTCATGTTGATATTTACCACTGTGTTGCTGACAATTACCTGAAAGAGAAGTTGGGGTGCTTCACTGGGCTGGAAAAAGTTAAGCTAAATCAGAAAGCAGGTCTAATTAAGCAAGTTTATCAATATATATATAAAGCTCTCACTGATGCCATATGCACGGGTGTGTTTCAATATGTCATTGTCATTCGTGAATTTGGTTGACACTGCTATCATAGAGAAAGGGCGAAGAGCGATATTAAAATATTTCTTCTAATTAATTTCCTTTCAATGTGCATGAATTCGTGCACTGGGCCACTAGTAGTTTATATAAACTAGAGGCCTGGTGCACAAAAATTTGTGCACTCGGTTGGGGGGGCGTCT